ACTCAGTTGAGTGTTTCTTTTCCAGTTCTTGGAAATAAGTCACACTTTTGTCTTTTTTATCTGAATGCGTTCTATTCAAATGATCTTGTAGCCTTGAGGGTTTCATCGCTTCATTCGAAAATGTTTTTTGACAAAGAAGGCACATAGGCGAAGATGGATTTGTGGGATTTTCAATAAATCCATATTCTATATATTCCGCGCTATACTGCCGTTTCTTCTTTTTTGCTTCCGACATGATTTTGTCTTCAAAAATGCCGAAGTAAAGAATCGAGTATTAAAAACTTGCTAATGACACCACTCACAGTATTCACCACCGCACGTACAGCACTTTACCTAGCTGGTCGCTAACTAAATTCATTTCTTTTTGTAATATCGTCGAATGACATTACTGGCTGGATGGCGCGCGCGCTTTTATATGAGGCAGCGGGCGGGCCTAGTACTTTCGAGAATGGAGACTAGGAACTTGTCGCTTCGCATTGAAGCCTACCGCCATCTATTGTATAGTTTGACAACTATCGGCCAGGAAATAGTTACTGTCTAGTCTCCTAGATGGCGTTACACGAGGAAACGTGCGTAAAGGGGTGGTAAAGTTTGTGTTAAAATCAAAAAAACATTTTCAAATTAGCCATCGCCCCCTAAACCGCTTCAACGGCCCCCATTCTTCTCTGTGCCCTTTACTACCCCCCTATAGGCCTCCAGCACCCACAAGGGGGCGTTATCGCCCACTTTGAGAAAGACTAGTATAGAGTAAAAAATATTAATTGAGGAAGGAAGCTACAAAAAAACAGGTCATTTAAACCAACAAGCTTATATCAAGCAATTCCGCATCATTGGCACACCCAGTACAATCGTAAAAACGCATACCTGTAAGGAGGATCTTTTGTAACGCACGAAACTTGGACGATGGCCCTGCCTTTATAACCAACAATCTGGATGGTGGGATAGGTTGGGTTATCGGGGGTGCTATTTTTTCCTGGAAAGGACCCCGCCGATCTGCTTTCACACAAGTACCGAAACCTCAAAATTTTCGGAGCTGGTTGCTCCAAGATTCGTATGCGAGGTTGTTGTCTATAAAAAGAAAAATGTGAACTGGATCATACAGACATCAATTAAGGATTAAGATGCATGTCTCAATGACGACTGAAGATGTTTGCCGCAGTAGCAGACGAAACAGTTGGTAACAATAATAATAATTCATTTGACCATTTTTGGTACAAAATAAGTACATACGGCAAATCAAAGAATCAAATAAAGACAAATAGGCAATCAGAAACACATGAATAACATTAAAGTATGAACAACGATTTTTATTTTGTTAGAACTTAACAACAAATAAATAATAATTGAACAAACAAATTTCCCTCAGTTATCTCAATGGTGCGATTTTGGGCTTGTTCGATGAGCTCCTAATGCTATTCGAAGTGCTGTACTTTGAACAACGTCTAGCGCTATTGATCCATAATCGATTCTGGATCTAATGAGCGATCTGTAGAGTCGAATAAGTGTAGTTGTGTCGGTACCCCATGTTGTATTGGATAACATCCTCAGTAAATTCAAACCTCCTTGGCACTTTCTGATGAGATGGTGTATGTGTGATTTCCAGTTTGATTTTTGATCAAA